CTCCGACCGCATAGAGTTTCTACGAGCTTGTCATTCATATCGTCCAATGCATTGCAATCTTCTAGGCACTGAAAACTGTTTTGTAGCTTGGGCTGAAAAGTTTAGGGACTGAATTAGAGCACGAGGGGACGGAGCGTTGATTTCATTAGACGTGACATCTCCAACTTAACGGTTAGGTTTTTTTTTTTTTTTTTTTTTTATAGGAGAGGGGGCAAACGAGCATGCGGCTCACCTGATGGTAAGTGACTACCGCCGCCCATGAACAACCGCAACACCAGGAGAATTGCAGATGCGTTGCCGGCCTTTTAAAAAGGAGTAGGCTCTTTTCTTGAAGGTCCCTAAGTCGTATCGGTCCGGAGAAATCGCTGGTGGTAAACTATTCCACAAGGAAGTTGTGCGAGGAAGAAAACATCTTCTAAATCGCACAGTGGTGGACCGCCAATCATCCAGATGGTGTGGATGGTATCGGGAGTTCTGCCGCGATGTGCGTTCGTGAAATTTGGCGGCTGGGATTAATCCGAACAATTCCTCAGAGCACTCCCCATGGTAAATGCGAAAGAAAATGCTAAGAGATGCAACATCTCTTCGCAGTGCCAATGAGTCGAGCCGATCGGAAAGGACTCGGTCGTCGACGATTCGAGCCGCTCTGCGCTGGATGCGGTCAAGTGGAAGAAGCTGGCACTGGGGAGCCCCAGCCCAGAGATGGGAACAGTATTCCATGTGAGGCCGACCCTGCGCCTTGTAAAGTTGCAGGCGTTGAGCCGGCATGAAATACTGTCCCGCTCTGCTGAGCACGCCAAGCTTTTTAGAGGCCAATTTGGCCTTCTCTTCCAAGTGACCACGAAACTGCACGCTACTCGATATGTCGACGCCAAGGATTCCGATACTGGCTGAGACAACAAGGGGAGTACCTTGAAACTGAGGAGATACGACAAAGGGGTTCTTTTTAGCGGTAAACGCGCAAACTTGTGTCTTCTGAGGATTAAACTGGACTAGATTTAGTCGCCCCCAATCCGAGACTTTGTCCAGCAAAGACTCGACTTCAGACACAAGTTTGTTCCGACACAAGCTACAAAACAGGTTTAGTGTGCCTCTCACCATTCGGTGATCGCTGCCGGTTTTCACCCTCGCGATCACTGAGACATCACTGAACAGTTGTCGTCTAGTCGTCATAATGAAGTCAATCTCATATTTTGTCGAACCGTCGAGGCTAGACCAGGTCCACTTCCTGTGGGGCCGCTTCTGGAAGAAAAAGTTCATCATAAAGAGTCCCTCCTTCTCCATGAAGTCGGCCAGCTGCTGGCTCATCGAGTTCCGTTGCCCTATTTCAAATTTCCCTACCTTCATGTCACAGTCCTCTCTTGTGCCTAGTTTTGCATTGAAGTCTCCCATTAACACCATATAGTGGGTTTTGGAAAAATGCGTGGCTCTAGATATATTCTCATACATTTACTCCACCTCCTCATCGGGATGTGCCGAGGTTGGTGCCTAAACCTGTATGACCTTCAGAAAATACCGTTTGGTGATTGTGAGTAAAAAGTACGCAACCCTCGTCGACACACTCTCAATCTTTACAACGTTGTTAACGAGAGACTTGTGGACGATAAATCCGACACCTCCTTGGGACGGATGGTCGCCCTCCCGGTGATAGAACAAGTTGCCAGATTCGAGGATTACCATGTCCTCCCTCTCTCTTCGGACCTCAGATAATCCTATAATATTTCAGCGCACCTTGTCTATCTTTTCGACCAGCTCCAGGATATTCTCGTCAGTCCTCAGGGTGTAGTTATATGTTGCCAGGTCTAGTGGTCTTAGGTGGCAACCGAACCTCCACCAGAGATTCTTAGCACCCCCTGCCCCGCCGTTACCATGGTTGCCACCGTAGCCTTGAATAGCGGGACCGCTGAGGACTGGGGCCCGTCTCTTCGTAACTTTAATCATGGGAGTATATTGCCATAGCTGCCGCGCTTGGCGAGCGTGTTGTTAACGCAAACAATAAATATATGTAATGTTTTATTTAATATGTATGCGAAACAACATAAAATACAAGAAAATGAAGTAAGGAGATCGTTAGCAATTTGTCGCAAATATATCATCGCTTCCCGATGATGTTTTTTTTTTTTCAAAAATCCTATACACAACAACGGTTGCCACGTTACCAAAGAAACAACGCTTCGCAAAACCTTTACTCTCAATCTAACCTGTATATTATAGACGTGTCGACAAATATATTTGTGACACATATTATTTTTTTATCTTTTTTTTATTATCTTTTCCATAAACTGTAACTATGCCAAATCTTACACTACTCCGTGAGGGAATACTTAATGGGGGTACAAAGAATTCCCTCCACGTAATAATGTATAAATAGCGATACTAGAAGGCTGCCGAAATCAGGTTATACTACAATAATGAAAACCGATAACTTAAATAAAATTCTATAATATTTAAAGTTATAAGTAATTACCTTCCAGTAGTGATGGTATTTATATAAGAAGTATTTGCATAATAGCTTTTCTTTATAATGAGATTAAAGACGACTGTGAGGATTCGCTTTAATATACAGGGTTATTTTGCAATAACCGACCAAATTTGAAGGGAAGGTTTTGATTAAGTAATATAGGCAAATGGTGAAGAAAAATTAATTAAAAAAAAATTCAAACATTCTGTCCTTTTTATATTTTAAATTCAAAATGCGTGGAATGTATTATTTTAACTGATTTTACTGCGCACGCACACGTCAGTAAAGGTCGATCGGTAAGCAAACAAAGTTGTTACCCAGAAATAACATTCAATTTGGGCTAATTTTAAACAAAATTAGAAGCCTTATTTATTCATATTTTCAAAAACTGCAATTACGGTATATCATTATTTAAATATTTGAAAAGTTTAAAATTTGGCTACTCTGAAAAATAACTATGTAGATTACATGCACGATATTTCTTGAAAGATTTCGCCATAAAACCACTATATTTGTACACACAGACCAATAGCATCGAATCTGAACCCATTATTGCAAGTCCGTGTAGTCAGAAATTGACATATTTGAATATTTTTTTTCGAATTCAACGGTCGCCAGAGCCTCCTTCTTCATCAAAGGCTGAACATATATGTCTCCCCATATGCTTTACCGAGGTTGGTTCAACAACTCATCTCATTAATAAATTACTACATCCTATAACGTGTCTTTAACTTGGTCGGTTTTATATTTTACTACAAATAAAATAATTACGGTCATCCAATAACATTCATCCATCAATTACAGCCTATCAAAGTCAACTGCTGGACATATGTCTCCCCATAGATTGCATCAAACTGCAGTTTTGAAATTTTTTGGTTGTTATAAGGCAGACGCTGCTGCCCATCTCCTGATTTCTTTCCCTCTATCACCTCTTACGTCACCCACGAGAAGATATGAGATAGTGGATATTTTTACACCGCCACTACACGGAAATCTTACAACCCTATACGAAATACGATTTACATTAACCGTTTCTCTATCCCATGAATCATATATGAACATTTCAATTGTTTGATTATTGTGTCTGTTTCGCGGATAGGGAAACTTTTAAATTAAATAGATGTAAGTCTATTTAATGTCTATCCTGTAATAGGCAGTTGGATGCGTAAGGATTTAATTTAAAACTAATAAAATTTATAGTTTGAAACCAAAATCAAGTATTATTTTATTATTCGCAGGAATAACGTATTGTGAGTATCCTTTTGAAATTGAAGCAAAATTCAGTATATTGAAAAACAGTAAATTCATAAAAATAAAAGGACCAGCGAGAATACGTACAACTGAATTTTTTCAAGTTATACGTCAAATTGCAAAAAAAAACAAAGGAATATCTTGTGTTATATATTGTATAGTGAGAACGATCCACGCCGCAATCAGTGAACATTGTCAAATTCACAATATTATGTGCAGTTCAATTTCGATAGCACACTTTGTTTGCACCTGCTTCGATTCGACGATGTACGCGTTGTTATGCGGCCTGGGAATAGGTACGCGATTCGAATATGAATTTCAAACAGTAGACTTTAAAGGAACGATGCCTTTTCAGTAACGGCATTAGCGCGAATACTGCTACATCCGGTTTATATTTCAAAACACGCCATAGATATGTATCTACTTTTAACTGTAAAATGCTTCACGATATTATGAAGAAACAGTGTACCTACTGTAAAGGTGAAATTAACCATTTTGGCAAAGTTCCTTATTTATGACCACAGCTTGCGCAAATCGATCCTACCTAGTAACGAGGTGATGCAGTCTTGAATGGTAAAGATATTACGCGCCTGCTTAGTTAACCCTATACAATCTTTTTTTTTGCTGACATACTGCATTTTGGATGGAAATACTGGTTCTTGCAAATTATTTCAATCCCATCGTGAATGTAACATTTCTGACTTTTTATCAATTACTATTATACAGTCTGAAGTAGCCATGCGGTGGCCATATAGCTCGAAGAACCGACAACCGATGGGGAAGAAATCCCCCCACTAGATGGAGTTACGACCTGGTAAGACATGCAGGAAGTCGATAGATGCAGGTAGCTCAAGATCGTGCTCTGTGGCATTTCTTGGGTGAGGCCGATGTTCAGCAGTGGACTTGTGAAGGGCTGTAATGATTATGATGATGATAATATAAGAAGAGTGAATATGACTTTACCAAACTAATGCATTTTCACGGGCAGACTTCCACTATTGTGAAGGGGAGTTTGTTTTCATACAAAAGTGAATATCCCTTACAGTGAAGGATGTACCTAGTAGACTACATAAGTCAACAAATGCATGTCTCCCTTATTCAAGTACTTGTTAATTATGTATTAAAGGACATTGCTCTGGTTTTTTGTAGAAAAATGAGTAACAATAATATTTTTATTAAAATTTGTTGTTATGTTTGTTTATCAACATAACAACAAACAAATTGTAATAGGTTTTGTAAGGAAGGCGAGCATAAAATAGATCAACAAAACAAATTAAACAACACTTACCATTTCTAGATACATCTAGTTCTACTAAGTTTTCAAAGTTCTGTATGTCCGATGGAAGTTTATGAATTTCATTGTCGCTAAGACCTAGTCTTCTCAGACGATGAAGTCTGAAGAAATTCTGAAACAATCAATGTAAAAAGTTCTTATTTAATAGTAACACATTTTATACTAAATTATACAAATACAATTATAACAAAAGGTAGTTAAAAACTACTTAAAATGATTGTTTTAATTATTGTTCCAGATATTTTTTTAAATTATTTTCATTATTACAATATCATTCATTTATGCTTTCATATATGTATATTAATACATAATAATAAAATTCTAATAGAGTTGATTAAATATTTGTTTATAGGTTTTTCTAAAATATGTATGATCTTAAAGTTGACAAAAAATTACATTAAGAATCTATATTACCTGAGGATGCCTCGTGTAGAGGCGAAACACGTGTCGTATTGTCGTCAGTGGTGTGTCTTTCCTAGTGTAGTGGTGTTGGGAGTAGTGGTGCTGGGATTAGTGGTGACGGGGATAGTGCACGCAACTGAGGTAGGGCGGGAGGTGCTCTTCAAACCTACCGTTACCGTCTTACCTAGACACATCATTTTATTTTATCGCACGGATGTAGGCAAAGTAATTTTTTGTCAACTTTAATATAATGGACTTCCGCAAAGTAACGGCTGATTCTATTCATTATGTATAATCTTCTCAAAACTACAAGAAAATTAAAATTATTTTAGTTTTTTTTTTGTATTTCCAGCAATAAGCCTATCCTAAAAAGCCTTCATCACAAATGTTAAGCTTTTTTAACCGGTTAAGCATTTTACACTACTTTTGGCCAATTTCTTAATTTTAATATGAAGATTTAAAAAAGAAATATTATTTCAGTAATAACTTTTAATAAATTTGCTATTATTTATTCTGTGGTAATATTGAGTACTTGTATGTTACTTTCAAGTGTATATTTTTGTTTCAACAATCATTTGAATGTAGGATAGCTGGGCATAACAAATAAGGAAAAGAAATCTCGTGCTAAAACTATCACTGTTAAATATTTTGAAAAGTTTGGCTAAATGAGGGTAAACAAAATCATATGGGTGGGTGTTTGATGACTGCAGCAGTACCACCAATAGCATTCAGTCCTAATAACCAATGCTCTGCAAAAATTTACTTTTATGTTACGCAACAGTTAAAAGCTTGTTTGAAAATGTACAATTGTATAATACAATGAAATCAAAAAAGACAGAAAGAGAAGAAGTTTGAGCCTAATACTGATTTAGTATGATAAGTGAGGCGAAACAATAGTAACAAGGAATTTCATCTTAATCCTCAGAGGCAATAATGCATCTAAATTTTGATTCTTGATTGATAGTAAATTCTAGAGTCCATTTTGCTACATACAGGGCTAAACATCTTGGCACACCGGGATCACTCCCCGAAGTTGCATGCAACATCAAAGCACTGTTGAACTTTTTCGGGGAGATCTCATGGCTCGAATAATTACATTATTCCTGCCCACACGCAAAATATGCGCATAGACGTGGAGTTGCGGAAAACAGCCCATCGTAAACTATAGAGTCCATAGTCAATAGGCCACAGCATTTATTAATAATCAGATAGACTTTGTGCTTGTTTATCATCTTTACTTCTAAGAGTAAAAACCCCTATGGTAGATACCCTACACTGGCAAATGCTTAAACCGGCATGATTCTGTTCAGGTAGTACCAAAAAGAAATCAACTTATTCCTTTGTGTAAGTGCATAAAAACCATGGAAATATTTTGTGTACATATATGTTGAGACAGACCTGTATCGACTAGTATGAACCGGGAACCTACTTCTTTATAAAAGCATGTTTAGAGTAAATTTTATAGAGCGAATAGAATAGAATAGAATAGAATAATTTTTATTCAATATAAATAATAAATAAATAAATAATAAATAAATAAATTTTATTTCGTTTTTAAAAAGTAAATATACATTATATGTGTAATTCTTATTGAGTCTTTTTTTACTTTACCACTGGTTCGAAAAAAAAACCTTCTGTCCTGGGAAGAACCACCAAGAAACCCAGTGGGACTTTTTTTTAAAATAAATTTTACAATATAAATGATTACGAACTATTTACAAAATTTATTTTAAAAACCGCTTGGACGCAACCACCTCATTCCCAGGGGTTATTATCAACCACGTATTCATTTATACTATAATAACCCTTTTTATACAGTTTCAGCTTAATAAAACATTTGAACTTGGTAATAGAAAGAACCTGTACAATTTCCAGGACCTTTTTGTAATAGTGTATACATTGCCCCAAGAATAAATTACTGACTCTATGGAGTCGAGATACTGGCATAAATAGTCTAGAACAGGATAGAGTATTAGAAACCAGTAACGAAAAACCAAAAATTATTACCGAACTAACACAAGAACTGATTTCTAAACATACAGAACTCCTATTATTAGAGAAAAATCTAAAACAATGAGACACGAATAAAAAGAACTATATAAGAAGACAAACAGAGCAATCAGGCAAGATTACGAAAGACATAGAAGAATAATCAGAGAGAAATATGACAACATATAAAAGTTCAAAGAGAGCCTTTAAAGAGCTATCAATGCATAAAAACTGGATACAAGAGGTCTGTTAAGCTGGAATAGTTATTTGGGCAAAACCACTTAATTTTATGCTAAATATTTAGTGCTCATTTGGTGCTAATTTAGTGCTACAAATTTAAATTTCATGCCAAAATAGCTTGACAAAAAATTATAAAACTGCTAGCTTTTAATTAAGCTAGCAGTGTTCTACCTATTAAAACGGTAATAGCTTAATACAGCACCAAATAGAAGCATCAATAATATTGTGCTCATTTAGTGCTGCCGATATACACAAAAACAAATATTGGAAAAATATATATTTTTTAATATCATAAATTCATTAGGTGATAATTCACGTACTTACTTACTTATCTTCACGCACAATCCCTGACGGGGTAGCCAGAGAGAACAGATCGCCAAGTGTCACGATCCTTACATATCTCTTTCGCTTCTTTCAGATTCATTATCTTCTTCATACATGCACGTCTAGGTATCCGAGTACTCTTGACCCTACCCTCTTCGAGCAATTTGCTCACATGGTCTTCGAAAGTTAGTCTCGGTCTACCTCGACACCTTTTAATATTAACTTTCGCGCTATATATTTTCTTCACCATTCGGTCTTCACTCATTCGCTCAACGTGCCCAAACCATATTATAGATAATTCACGTCGGTGTCAATTTTTTCGGTACATACTCTGCTAAAGATGTCAAAGTAGCAGTTTACGGTATTTAAAAATAATAATTTCTCAAATCCTTTTTCGTATATCGACAGCACTAAATGAGCACTAATTGATTATCTCATATCATTAGGTGATAACTCACTTGGATGTCAATGTTTCATCACATACTCTGCTAAAGATGTCAAAGTAGCAGTTTACGGTATTTAAGAATAATAATTGCTCAAATCCTTTTTCGTATATCAACTGCACTAAATGAGCACTAATTTAATATTTTATATCATTAGCTGATAGCCCATTCTGATGTAAATTTTTTTATTACATACTCTGCTAAAGATGTCAAGGTAGCATAATTTATGATATTAAAAAAATATATATTTTCCCAATATTTGTTTTTGTGTATATCGACAGCACTAAATGAGTACAAAATTATTGATGCTTCTATTTGGTTCTGTATTAAGCTGTTATTGTTTTAGTAGGTAGAACACTGCTAGCTTAATTAAAAGCTAGCAGTTTTCTAATTTTTTGTCAAGCTATTTTGGCGTGAAATTTAAATTTGTAGCACTAAATTAGCACTAAATGAGCACTAAATATTTAGCAAAAATTTAAGTGATTTTACCCAAATGACCATTCCAGCTTAACAGACCTGAATACAAGGTCTACAAGATGGAGAAGAGGAAACAAGAAACAGAGAAGACATAGTAAAGTGCGCAACAGCTTTCTTCTCAGAGCTTTACAGAAGAATCCCAACTAGAAGAAGTAACTTTAACTCCATAACCGAAGGGGAGATAGAAAGACATATAAAAAGACTTAAGTCTGAAAAAAGCCCAGGACCAGATAAAATCACAGATGAAGCTCTAAAACTTGGGTCATCTATTCTAGTAAGCTACCTGACGAAACTATTCAACTTAATCATACAACAAGAAAAAATTCCAAAACAATGGTGCAGCTCAAACATAATACTGCTCTATAAAAAAGGTAATTCACTTGATATAAACAATTATAGACCAATTAGTCTACTATCTTCAACCTATAAACTGTTCTCTTCGATAATCCTAAGTAGAATAGCCCCAGACATAGACAGAAACCAACCAATAGAACAAGCAGGCTTCCGACCACACTACTCAACAATGGATCACATACACGCTATGGAACAAATAATAGAAAAATACAAAGAATACAACATGCTGTTATACATAGCATTTGTAGATTATGCTAAAGCATTTGACAGCATATCACATTCATCTATTTGGAAGGCTTTGAGAAAAAACAAAATAAATGAAAAATACATTAGGGTGCTAAAGAACATATATGCTAAGAGTACAAGCAAAATAAAACTAGAAAGACACGGAGAAGAGTTCGAAATTGGGAAAGGAGTGAGGCAAGGTGACCTCACCTTTCACCCACACTATTTATAGCCGTCCTTGAAGACATATTTTAAAACCTAGAACGGAAAATAAAGGTATATGGATACTAAATAAAAGATTAACACACCTACGATTTGCTGATAACATAGCTCTCTTAAGTGAACCTGCAACTGAATTAGAAAGCATGCTTCAGAGCCTGAACACCCAAAGCCAAAAAGTAGGACTTGAAATTAATTTATCAAAAACAAAAATTATTACAAACAGCTCCAAAAAACCAATCAAAATAGAAGGAAAGTTCATTGAATATGTTGATGACTATGTATATTTAGGCAAACTGATATCTTTCGAACTAAACAGCAATGAAATAGAAATAGACAGAAGAATAAACATAGCGTGGAAAAAATATTGGGCTCAAACAGAAATTCTTAAAGGAAATTACAGCCTAAGAATGAAAAAGGTCATAATGGACACACATGTCCTGTCCTTCCAAGTCTAACATATGCAAGCCAAACATGGGTGTATACAGAAATAGTGAAAAACAAAATTTTGTCCTGCCAACATGCTATGGAGAGAAGCATCCTTAAATTAAGGAGAATACAAAAAACAAGAAATATAGATATCCGCAAGAAAACTAAATTAACAGATGCACTTCAGCATAGCCACATACAAAAATGGAAATGGGCAGGACATATAGCTAGATATCAGGACAAAAGATGGACCTACCAAACAACAAAATGGAAGGGCCTATTTGGCAAGAGGAGTGTAGGACAGCAAAGGAAAAGATGGGTGGACGTCATTATTAACACAGCAGGAGAACAATGGATGCAAATTGCCAAAAACCGACAAACTGGACAATCGATCAATGGGAAAATATCCTTTAGACGGACAAATTAGTTTTAAGATTTTCGGGTCCAATAGATGTATGTTTGTACGCCGATCAAAAGAAGAGAGGACTTCAGAAGCTTGTACAGTGCCTACTATCAAATATGGTGGTGGTAATGTCATGGTTTGGAGTTGTTTTAGCAACAGTAAATGTTGAGAAGATAATCGGAAAACTAATCAAAGAAGGCTATCTATAAAATTCTAAAAGATTCCACCATACCCAGTGTACTGAATCTCATTAGTCCTGGATTCACTTTTCAATGGGTTAATGATCATAAGCATTTGTCAAAACTGTGTCAGAACTTTTTGAACAAGAAAAAGATTTTAAAAAACATGCAATGGCCATCTTCATCACCTGACCTTTCTCCTATTGAACTTGTTTAGGATGAACTCAACAGAAGAGTGAAAAATTGATCTACAACAGCTCAGAACGTTTGTGGCAACTACTGTAGAGAGAATGAAACAAGTTACATAAAGATTATTTTAAGAAATTAATTAATAGAATGCCTAGAATATTATATAACTAAAATTTAAATAAAAATTTCATTTGTGTGTTAAATTCACGGCTTTGGATGGTAGTGTATATAACAAATTTTATTCTAATAAAGAACTCCATCCCAATTTTATTCACAACACAGGTAGTAATTTAAATTATTTAAATCCATTAAATTAATTTTATTCCATGTGTAGTATTCGTGTAAACATAAGAAATTAGTGTGTTAACTTGTTTATTTACATTTTCTACTAAAATAATTGCAATATTGTTCATCAGATTCACAATTAATGAAATTCTAAACAGTACATAGAACTTAAAAACAAATAAATACTAGAATATTTAAAAAATATCAAATTACGTGTGATAATTAACATAAAAAGAGAACTGTATTCATTGTAAGAACTATTGTATATGCAAATCATTAGGTGCTAGCAAAACAAAATTAAATACAGCTTATAAATATTATTTACACATCATAATGATAAGGTAAACGCCCACGATCACAAGTAATATAAATTTAGGCCAAACAGTAACATACCTTGGGCAAATCTCTTATATGATTGGCATCCAAAAACAGTTCCTCTAAGCTTCTTGAATATCTTAAGATATCTTCAGGTACTGTTGGCAAAGAGCAATGCCGCTTGTCTACACATTCCACTTGGCGATTACATTTAAACAAAGGTATACATCGAAACATGTTGGACACTACACTTCAATCAAACTATATTGAGATAAACCACTACCACAACACATATTTGTGCGTTTTCAAGAACAAACACTATCTCAGCATTTTTAAAATTAAAACGATAACAAATTGTTTTATTTTAAAGTACACCAGACACCTCACCCATAAAAATGAAGCCACAAACTGCCAGTGTTGCCGTACTCGTTACCACAGGTTTTTTTTATAACTCGCTTTACGGCTCTGGGTTCTGGCTCCTACAACAACAAACAGTACGACTCTGCACCGTCTTCAAATTCCAAGTAGTTAGGGATGCTGGATTGGTTGAAAGAAAAGCTAGGTATAATAATAATAATATAGATTTTTATTAGGCACACAAAAAAATATCGCAGAGTAAAATAAAAATAACAATGGCGGTTTATACAATTGGTAGCCTTATCGCACTATGACAACCTCTTATACGTATACGGATATGGTATACGGCATAAGGAAACAATGTTTAAGCCCGAACTGTATAATCTAATTAAAATTAATAAAGAAAAATACAAAAAATTCATCATAGACTAAATTATGGCTGAACACGGTCACGATGTCTTAAGATTACCTCCATAGCATCCAGATCTCAATCTAATTGAGATGGCTTTCGCTGCCATAAAAGGTTATGTGTGCATCAAAAATGTGAACTGGAACGATAGCAGCATGACAAAGCTTATTAAGGAAAAAGTTCATTTAATGGGTGCTAGTGAATGTGCAAAATTATGCTATAAAGTGAAAGATATAGAGTGAAATATATAGTCCTTGTATATGAAAAACGACAACATCATTGGCCAGATAGAGTTTTACGTGATAGAACCATGCTGCAGCTATATTAATAGTATAGTTGTAGCACGAATGGGTCGGCTCGACCGGGGAAGGACCACGCTCTCACAGAATACCAGCGTAAAATAGCAGCCTAATGCTGCTGTGTTTCATATGGTGCGTGTAGAGAACCGGAGACTTATTTTACTGGAAAAGAGGCATTCTATCTTAGTCCTCACGGCTGACAACGAATCTGCATTTTAATTCGCAAGCGAAGATAGATGTAAATGTCTATGGGCCACAGCAACCACTTACCATCAGGTGGACTGTGTGCTCGTTTGTCACTCTAATTCTATAAAAAGAAGAAGAAAATTAATGGCAATATAGAAAAATAGAAAAGAATAGCAAATCTCATGACTATTTTTGAATGACAGGTTGGCACAAGTCGCACCCAAAAAATAAGCTCCTAGATATTTTGTAATTTTTAGAGTATATTTATTTTTAGTAAGTAATTGTTTTTCAAAATAATTACTTGTTCTGTGAGTGACTGTGGTGTCAATAATAGAAATAATCCTGATAAGTGCACTTTGCATAGGCAAATTCTTATTATATCGTCAATGTTATGACGCGTTTATTTTTGGTTAAAATTTATTTTTTATACTGTTTAATACATAGAACATTTACAATTATTTTCTGATTTTGATATTTGGCCAAGAAAAACGTCATGTTGTTGAAAATTTGTATGATTTTGGTTGAATATTTTACATATATGCTAGGGATTGACTCAACTATATTAAAATGAATGTCGATATTTATCTTGAATTTTTATAACGAATTGATAGACTTGCCCACACAACAAGAAGCGGGATGAAAATAAATGCTGGGTTTGCGTTCTTAAAATGTAATTGCACACTCACAACGTGAGGGAGTGTTCTACTCTCGATATGTGGCCATACCTCAATTTCGCTACATAAAATCGTTCTTATACTTTTAGCTAGACATCAAATTCATATTATTATCAACGTTACAATAACTACAGATATTGAATTATAAGATTAGTTTATTTTCTAATTGATTCACTTTAGATTACATAACAAAAATGTACCTAAATGAAAAAATATATGGCCGTCCGTTGGTCTGTGTCGGTGAGACTTCTTGCTTAATAGAAACGTAAGCAATAAATTAATAATTAATATATATGTGCGTGTGCGCGTGTGTATAATTATTAAATAAGAATAAATAAATAAATAGAATAAAAAAATATATACATTATTAAATAAGAGCCCGTATATTCTAAGGAGGAGCCCTATTGACTTTTATTATTGAACTGAACACCGTTTAAAAGTTATGAATGAAAGTCGATCAGATTCTCTGTTTCTTTTTTCTCTTATAAAAATTATCGTCTCTATTTTTACTTTTTTTTATCAAAATTAAATAAAACTCTTATGAGGGGTGCTTTTGGGCTTTCTAAACTATACTTATATTTACTCATGCAATTATTATCAAATAAATATATGTTTAGATACCTCAGTTATCTCGTAAAACTATTTCTGTTCAATTGCTTGACGTAATGACCGACTTGGCTATGTTTACTTAAATGTAGTTTATTATGTTAGTAGGGATGTTTTTCCTCAGTTCTTTTTACAAACTTACTACTGACTGTTCAGTATCACAGTGGATAAAATTTTGGTTACGCATTGCGGAGCATTTTATTTTGCCGTTTGTCAGATTTCTTACGGATTCTATATTTAGATAAAAAAAGGGTAAGATTTTTTTCGGCGGGTTGATTGAAATCCAAAGTAGAACTCAACAATTTCACAACAACTCAATACGCATCGTGAACACATTCGCAGCGGTCGTGTCGTTTTGTGATTCGCAATCGTAAAATGTCACTTTGAGTTAAAGTTCAAGGTAACAGTTGCAGTGAAAGAGTATTATTACAAGTCTATAAGAAACCTACAGTGAATAAATTATATGGCGTTTTTATAACAATTGCAAGGAAATTTTTGCAATAAGTAAGCAACATATCAAAAGACGTTTACCTTATCACGCCGTAATACCTACGAAAAGAAAAAAAGCGCTTAAAATAAGCGTATTAAGATCACCTTTGACGGTGGTAGAGCCACGCGGCAGTTTTTGCTGTTGCACGTATGGGCCGGCTCGAGCCGGGTTGGTACCACGACCTCACAGAATACCCGCGTGAAGTAGAAGCTCTGCTTCTGCGTTTCGTCTGGTGAGTGCAGGTGGCTGGAGGCCCAATCCCCCCCCCCCCCCCTCTCAACATGGTAGCAGAATTACACGAAAAACTACCCCAGGAGGGTACCAGCACCCCTGGAGAATCCCTCGCCGAGCATCCACGACCATGTTATTCCGCTCCCGAGTGTGGGTGCTCAGGCTGCCCCGTGTATTCTGGGGGAGGGGGGGGGGGGGCAAAATTCCGCTCAAAAACATAACTGCTCGGGGCAAACTGAGCAACAATACCAAGGCGACCCCTGTCACGCTATCCGTGAATTTCTGCAACATCAGGGGACTTCACTCGAACCTAAACGCCGTCCACTACCATCTCGAGACGGCGAAGCCGCTCTTGCTCTTTCTGACTGAGACGCAGGTGTCCTCTCCGGCTGATACTTCGTATCTCTCCTACCCAGGGTACAAATTGGAGCACTCCTTTGTGCCTCGGGCTGGAGTTTGCGTGTATGTCAGAGAGAACATTGTTCTCGACGCCTTGGCAGTCTTAAAGGTTCGGACCTGTCCATCCTTTGGCTATGCGTAGACAGCGACGAACATGCGCGCGTATACGGGTGCCTGTATAGGTCCCATAGCGGTAATGCCGAAACAGACCGACTCATCGACCACGTCCAAATGGCTACAGATTCCTTGCTACAACAGGTTCCATCCGCAGATATCGTGATCCTTGGCGATTTTAACGCCCACCACGCCGAATGGCTCGGTTCACTATTAATTTTAACCGATCATGCGGGGAGATCTGTTTATGACTTTGCCTTGGCATATGGTTTGACACAACCGTTTACTTCGCCTACGCGGATTCCAGATGTGGAGGATCATACACCTTCCCTGTTGGACCTTCTGCTGACCTCTCATCCAGACGGATATCAGGTTTCCGCCGATGCCCCTCTCGGCTCTTCGGACCATTGTCTGATCCGGAGTGTGGTGCCACTCACGCTCCCCTCGCGGTTGCATTCTGCAGGTTGCCGCCGTGTTTGGCATTACAGGTCGGCGGATTGGGACGAAATGCGGTCTTTCTTTGCATCCTACCCATGGGGGCGGGTTTGCTTCTCGCCGGATGATCCCAGCGCTGTTGCTGACTCTGTCACTGATGTGGTGCTACAGGGAATGGAACTATTTATCCCATCATCTGTGGTACCCATCGGAGGCAGATCTCAGCCTTGGTTTGGTCGCTCCTGTAAGACTGTATTACGCAGTAAGCAGGAGTGTTATCAAGCCTAGGCTGCGACTTCGGCGACTTGGGATGTAAACACCAGCACACTTAAAAAGAAGTATAACTTCGCCTCCAGGTCCTTCAAAAGAGTTATTGCCAAGGCAAAGTCAGGGCACATAGGCAGAATTGGTGAGAAACTAGTTCAACCCCCTTCGGGAACCCGTGCATTCTGGTCTCTCGCCAAGGCTGTCCATGGGAATTTCTGTAAGTCATCACTACCATCTCTGCACAGGGAGGACGACTCGCTGGCCCAAGCCGCAAAAGACAAAGCCGACCTTTTAGACTCCCTTTTTGCGCCCAACTAGACTCTTGATGACGGGGGGAAAACACCGCCGACCATCCCGCGGTGTGAGTGCTCCATGGCGGATGTGCTGTTCTCACAGCGCTCGGTTCGCAAAGCACTCCTCTCCCTGGACATCTAGAAGTCGAGTGGGCCTGACGGAATCCCCCCAATTGTGCTGAGGACGTGTGCTCTGGAGTTGGCACCGGTCCTAACGCGTCTTTTCCGGTACTCATACTCCCAAAGCGTAGTCCCTAATTCATGGAAGACAGCTTTTGTCCATCCGATCCCTTAAAAAGGCGACGGCTCAGACCCGTCCAACTATAGGTCTATCGCTATCACCTCCTTGTTCTCCAAAATAATGGAATCCATTATTAACTGCCAGCTCATGCGGTACCTTGAGGATCACCAACTGATTAGTGACCGCCAATACGGTTTTCGTCGGGGTCGATCAGCTGGTGATCTTTGGTCTACCTG